GGTGGGGTGGGGAGAGGAACTGAAAGTTACACCATTGTGTCTTCATTTTGTGCACAGTTGCAATAAAATCCCCCCAAGGTGACAAAAATGGAGGACAGAATACCTCTAGAAGAAAATTCAGAGAAGACCTGAGCTTGCAGGAAGGAGAGTTCTTATTACAGGTAAGTTTAAGTGAATATTATTTCTGTTATGAAAAATAGACTTTTTTTCACATTCCTACTTACCTTGTCTCGTATTTCATGATATACAGCTACCACCAATGCAGTGTGGTAAATAAAGATGTTTCCAGAAATGCAGTATGCCACGTAGCTTATACTTAAGAAGCTTTTCTTTTGATTTCAACCAGAGTCACATGCAATAATGTCCTGATATAATCTTTAAGCCTTAAACAAAAATATCCCCTGAAATCTTCTCAAAACAAACTAGTTTACCTTAAGTTATAAAAAGCATCTGCTTTAAAGAACATTAAACTCTTGTTAAAACTATCTATAAAAATTGATGAGAAATTTAGAAAGATGAAAGGCTACTGCGTGTGCACTTAATTTGTATTAATGATTAAAGGTAGCCTGGAAAAGGAGGGTGGGGATGGTAAGTCAACTCCAAAATATACTCAGTGTCACTGGCTTGTAAATGTAGAAACTCGTATATGTTCCGTAAATGCCTGCAGAAACAAACAAATTATTTTTGAAATTTTACATATCTTGTCAGGTAGATTGGTCTTAATTTTAAACTTTTATGAGAAATAATGGATTCACAAATAATGATTTTTATTATTTATTTTTATTATTTTATAACATTTTATTTAGTTTTCATTTTATAACATGCTTTGATGCTATTTGATACTGTGTTTATTACTATCTACAACTCCATTTTAAAATCACCAGTTAAAATGATAAATTACAGTATGCAACAATTAGTGATCAATCACATATGAAGACAATATATCATGATAATTAAGTGGATGAGCTTTGGAGTCAGACAGATTGCACCTCTGAGCACATTTTCTTAGCTTCCTAACTTTCAGAATTCCTTTACCTCAAGCTCCTCTAGTACAAAGCTGAAATATGTTACCTATTTTAACGGATTGTTGGGAGAATTCAGCCACATTAATACATAATAACAGTTTAATAGTAGGTGCTGTTTTCTTTCTAATCCAGTCCTGAAAAGTATGATGTAAAGCAAGGATCTTCAAGGTGAAAGAACTGGAGTGCAAAGGAGAGGCAGTCACTGGATTTCATTGCCTAATCTAAAGACAAGGGCATGTGTGAGCAGCATCAACAGCAGGCCAATGTCTTGTTGACTCTTGAATCCCACTGCTTAGCCTATGTCTCACTTGCAGTGAAGTTGTTAATAATATATTTAATAAATCACTAGCGGGCATATAAGCCATTAACAGTTCTCAGAGCACATTCATGTTAATCTTTGTAACAACAACATCTTACATTACTCAAGTGCCTGCTCTATACCAGCACTGAATAAGATGAGCTGTAGTTATTATATTCATCTGATAAAATGATAACATGAACTCTTGAAGGAATAAATAACTAAAGCTACACCATGAATAAGGGACAGAATTGTTTGGTTCTTACACTAAACCATGCAATATTTCCATTTACTTTAAAAAGTAAAGAGGTTAGCTGTACCAAATAATAGACCAAGTATCAAATTGAACTT